CACGGGAGATGCTCACCTGGCACCATGGAGGGTGCATGGCCCAGGGAGGCAAAGGGGAGCGTGTGCCCTGACAGCTGCTGCAGCTTCGTCACCTGTCCAGGCAACGGGAGGAAGAGGAAGGAGGTGTTAGAGGTGACAGCAGAGGGTCCCCTGTCCCCTCGCTGGGCCAGAGGCTGGCACACAGCACCTGCCAGGACAGGCATCCCCAGCAGCACCCATCTCAGCAGGCACAGAGCCAGTGCCCACGGGAGCAGGGGCTGGCTGCCACGAGGACAGACTCACCTCTGCAGGAGAGACCCCACTGTACTGGCCCTGCATGGAGAAGCCCTGGGTGGGAGGGAGGGAAGGGGCATCAGTGGGGGGCCAGGTGGGAACCCCTGCCTCAGGCCACCCCCCCAGGGCAGGGAGGCCACCCTGAGCCTACCAGAGTTGCCCCTCGCCAGCAGAGGCTGGGCCCCCTGGCCACCCTGTGCCCCTGGGGGGGCTGTGGCCCCTTACCTGGTTGGCAGAGAGCAGGATGGTGCCCAGGGAGAGGCCAGGGTGGTAGGGGATGGTGGCCCCCTTCGGAGGCGACTGGAGAGGGAGGGAAGGAGGTGGAGGGGATGAGAGATGAGGTTGAATGTCCCCACAGCCCACTGGACCACCTTTTCTCCCCACCTCAACAAGGGGCATGGCCCCCAGCACCACCAAGGCTCTTATGGGCTTCAGCACTGGGGGACCCCGGTGCGTGGTCCAGGTGGGCACAGGGAGCCCTCGGAAGGGAGGAGCAGGTAGTGCGAACTCCCCCTGGCTGGGCACAGGGCTCAGCGGGTACCTCCAGGATGACAGCGCAGATCTGCCTCACACACTGGATGATGGCGTCTGGCACCCCTGAGACGGTGACGGCTCGTTCAGTGGAGTTGGGCAGCAGGTCACCAGCCACCTGCACCTGTGCCCCTGTGCTCTGGAGGAGAGCAAAGGGAGATGCTGGGGTGCCTCAGCCATCCCCCGCTGGGGCTCAGCACCTCCCACCTCCCCTGTTCCCTCCTTGGCCCCTTGGGACCTTTGCAGGACCCGCAGGGTGATACTCCACTCCTGCATCACCTCCCACAGCTCCTGCGGGACTGCAGCAGCCCCCGTGCCCTCTGGGGGAAAAGGGAAGCCTGCACCCAGGACACCCTCAGCCTCACCTCCCGAATCTCCCGGATCTTAGCTCCTGCCTTGCCGATGAGTGAGCCACACTGGCTGGCTGGGATGACGAGGCGCAGTGTCACCGGCGCTCTGCCCACTGTTGCCCCATCGCTCCCCGCTCCCAGGTCCTGTGAGGCCGGGAGGGGACATGGTTGGACCCCCATGAGTCCACTGTCATGGGGCGAGCACTCCCAGCACAGGGGGCACCTAGAGGGGGTGGTGGGGCTGCCTACCTCCTCCAGCTTGAAGGCAATCATGGAGACGGCGCGGAAGACGGCATCGGTGGAGCCGGTGATGGTGGTGATGCGCTCGGGGCAGGACCCCTCTGAGATGGTGATGCGCGCACTGCTCTGGGGACAGTGACACACCCCGTCAGGGACATTGCAGGCCCTGAGCTCAATGTCCTTCCCCAATGAAGGGCTCATCAGGGGTGGCCTTGTTGCTTGTGGACCTGGGCTTTCCCCCTCCCACCTGCCCCAGGCAGCCTTCCCTGCCGTGCAACCATGTCTCCCCTGGGTCCCCCTGGGAATGGGGGTGGCCAGGGCTTGGCACATGGGAGCCACCAGGTGCAGGCAGGACAGGAAGCAGGACCCAGCAGCCCCCCAGCACGCCCTTACCTGCTCTCGTATCCTCTTAACAGTCTCTCCTTTCTGCAGGGAGAGGAACAGGGTGGGTGGTCAGGTTCAGGGAAGCCTGGGGCGGGCAGTGCCCCGGACCCCAAATCTTACCTTGCCAATGATGCTGCCGATCTCCTGCAGAGACAAGGGTGGCCCTGTTAGCAGGCAGCTCCCTGCCTGCCACATCCCTCCTCTGCCCACAGCCTGGCACAAGGGCAACAGGCAGGCCCTGCCCAGTGGAAACTGGGTGGCTTGCTGGTGACTTGGGAAAGGGGCTGCTCCCTGGCTTAGCATGGGGGAAGAAATCTTTCTGTGAATCCTGTTCCCAGGGGGACTGGGAGAAGGGGAGGAAAACAGGGCATGGCAAGGAGCTGTTTCTCCAGCATGGCCCCCCACCCCAGGCATTGCTGACCCCCCTGAGCAGCACCAAGCCCCCCCACCATTACCTTGCCATGCATGAGCATGCGGAGGGTCAAGGTGATGCTGAGCTCTGTCTCCTCGGGGCTGCCACCCATGCCGCTGGCTCCATCTGGCGATGCCATGGCGGGAGGGCGAGCTGAGCCTGCGGGACACAGCAGTCTCCAGAAAGGGAGGAGGCCCCAACTAACCCCTCTCCACAAATCTGCAGCCCAAAAAGCACCATGGCTGGGAAGAGGGGAAACTGAGGCAGGGGCAGCACTATGCCCTCCTCCGGTGGGAGAGGCTTGCACAGCCCCATGGTACCCAGGGCCCCACCAGCATCCTGCACCCCCTCCAGGAGCTCCCCAAAGGGACCTGTCACCATGTGTCTGCCAGAGTCTGCATGCAGTTCCCTTCAGCCTGAGTGGTTCCACAGCCTGCGCGAGCCTTCCTCTTCCTCCTCCTCCTCCCTTCCCCTGCCCATGCGCAAAGCCCCAGGGGAAACTGAGGCAACCTCCCTGATGGAGACTGCCAGCCCGATGCGAACCAGGGCGTGATGCCCAGCACATGATGCCACTGCACCCTGTCCCCCCTGGGCACCCCAGGCCCCCCCCAAGACCCTGTGCCGGGGGGCCGGGGACGGCTGGGACCCCACAGTGCCAGCACGGGGCCGGGAGGAGGACAATCGCCGTGTGTCCAGGCAGGGGTGGGTGGCTGCCGCACCGCTGGCTCCCGGCAAGCTGGGCGATGCCAAGCGGCTTTGAAACAAAGCACCCGTGTTGGGGCTGGGGCTTGCGTCTGCGGGCATGGCGCGGGGGGGGGGGCAGTTATTTTAGGTGCTGGCAGGACTCGCCATCGCTACGGCACATCTCCTGCATCAGGGTAGTGGGGTGGGGAGGAAAGGCCGGTCGCCCCTGTACCCCCTAAGTGCTACAGCTTGCACCTCCAGGGTGGTGTGGACCCTCTGTCTTCCCCCGCCCCATTACCAGGGGCTGGAGATAGGGGAAAGGCTGGGGAAGGGGGAATATTCTCCTTCCCGATAGAGGGGAGCCTGAAATGGGGGGATGGGGGGGGACCCCCCTGTAACCCCCCCCCCTCCCCGGGTCCGCCGC